GATTCGAAAGCTCATGTACAGTCTGAATATTTTCATTGCAGCTTTACTCATAACTGCCTTCAGAAGACGAATGAGTAGACAGGGTACACCGTAGAATGGCATACAATTGAGAAAACAAATCACCTCAAACCGCAAAGAGACACAGATGAATCTAAAATGTGTCATGTGAAGTGAAGGAAGCCATTCTGGAAAGGCTGTCTACTGTGGGATTCCAGTCATGTGACAGTCGGGAAAAGGCAAAACGGTAGAGACAGTGAAAAGATCGGTGGTTTCCAGGCATTCAGGAACGAGGAGAATTAAATAAGAGAAGTGCAGGGGACCTTTCAGGCGAGGAAGCTCCTCTGTGTGACACCGTAATGAGGGCTCCATGACATTATCCATTTGTCAAGATCCACAGAGCACTACGACGCAAAGCACACATATGACCCTATGCAAAGTAAAACTGACAAGTGTTAAGGAGATCAGAGCCTTAAACTAAGTGTGGGGCTGTGTACGCAGGGCCCTATAAGGCTAAGTAGTCTTCCTTTCCGTGAAGCCAGCCTACTGGTCAACGTCTCACTTGTCAGTGTTTGCCTCCACATTTCCTGAAGGCAAGGAAAGCCTCTGAAATTCAGAAAGCAGGCAGGACTGAGCGACTGTGGAAAGTCACATGAATAAGACGTCCCCACACTCACAGGGAGACACTCCAACATTGTGCTTTTGCTGAGTGTAACCAGCCTCTCTAGGCAAACCAGGGTCTTTGAGTGTCCTGCGGGCTTGGAGCAGACACTGTACTGCTGTGACTCCTCCTCCACGGGAATGTTAGAGGCTGAAGTGAAGATTGGCCTTTGCATCCAGGACAGGGGGTGGCAGGCAGGGATGTTCAGGAATGAGGCACTGATGGCAGCTGACACAAGGTAACCATGGGGCAGGGAGGGCCATCACCATGAGTATTGCAGCCTGAAGGCAAGGAAAGCCTCTGAAATTCAGAAAGCAGGCAGGACTGAGCGACTGTGGAAAGTCACATGAATAAGACATCCCCACACTCACAGGGAGACACTCCAACATTGCGGCTGTCATGCTTCAGAGCTTCTGTAATTCCGTCTGAAGCTTTGATACTATCTATAAGCAGCACTTAACACAGTAAGATTTAGGATAATAATTTTTTGAGAAGTTTTTGTTTTCTCCGGTATTACCAAAGGTGTCCGATGGTGACCTAAAGATTTTCTTGTGACTCTACCTCATAGACAAACACAAATACAGGTCCACACTTTCAGTCATTAGAGGCTGCCAATGGTCCTTATGTGCACAGCATGCTCCTACCGTCTCCTGACTGAACAGGGGGAGATGGAACCACCAAGACCAAAGCAGCCTAGACTAATCTGCCACGAAGGAAAGCAATGCTGGGACCTTGCAAACTACCGGAAGTCCCCTCATACCTACTACGAGAGAACAAACAGTAAAAGGGAATATTTTTAAGGGTCGCTAGACTTTTCTCAACTAAGAGTGTCTTTGAAATGCACAAAATGGAGCTACAGAAATGTTCCCTTCAATTGATCATTTTTCTGAAATGTTCCTTCGGAGCTTATACATTTTGGTACAATAGTTAATCCTGAGGTCACCAGGAGAAACGAGTTTCTTCTGTGTCATGGAACTCTCCTGGAAACATAAAACAAGCAAACAAATGTAAGTCAGTGTCTTTCTTTCCAGTCTGGGGGAACCTCATTGCTATAGGCGCCCTAGTAGGGGAGTCTACCTGCCTTCCCTTCATGAAGCTTTTGCCATCAGATCCAGGAAACAAGAGAGATGGGTGGTGGGTCCTGGTTAGAATGAGTTCAGAAAGTTGCCCAGGATATGAGGTCAGTGCTGAGCTGAAGGCTAAGCTTGCCTGCCTTTGATTATTGTGTCATTTTATCTGTGACAGACAACACAGTCAGCAAAACTAGAAATACAGATGATTTCCAAGGGAAGCCAGTGACTCTCAAATCACAAACCTTCCTGAGATACTGGGAACTTGAACAATGATCCTGGTGGCACACGGGCCAATAGAAGTTGCATCCTGTCAACAGCTGCAACGTGTGACACAGAGAGGGACATGCCACAGCAGAAGAAGTAATTGAAGTTCAAGGGCAGAGGCCTCAGACATCCTCAAAGCACACAAAAGCAGCAATAGCAGGAAATCTGTGTGTTAACATGTGAAGTGTTTTTATTATAATACTCTTGTTCTATAATTTAAAAATGCACAGGAAGCCTGAGATTGCCTCTGGCCCAGCACAGAGGGTAGGAACCCAGCTGTGACAGCTGCAGATACCCAGGCTCTCCGGGCTGCTCGTGCTCCTAGGACTATTTTCAATTCCAATGTGAAGCCATTCTAGCTTTAAATGTGGGCAAATATGAGCATGAATTAAACATGAAGACGCAAAGAGATATATTTAAGAAGAAAGAGGAAGGCTTGAAATGCCTCCAGCTATATTTTTAGATAATAACAGAATATTAACCCCTTTTCAGGATTGTCAGAAGAAGGTGGTTTGAGGATGGGAATAGCTGCCCTCAAGTGAATTTCCATTGTTTTCCTTACAACAGCCTTTCTCCATTTTTCCCTATATAACCTGTACTCTTATAGGGCTTTAGTGAGAATTTGCTGTACATGACACTTTGAAACCTTTGCACAGTAGTGCTGTGAAAGCATACAGAGCAGCCCCAAGCACCGGGAAATTCTAAGAAGGGAAGACATGCTCCCTCTGCACAGCTACAGCTTGGCCACCTGTGTCTAGCACAGAATAATTCTGGAAATTCCAGCTTCTATCCTTTGCTCTCTGCATCCTTCAGTTGATTCTTCCACAGGTGCTTCCAAATGAAGGATTGAGAAACAAAGGAATCACAGGGCTCAAAGAAACATTAATATCCATTTAGTCTGGAGGTTTGGGGAATGGGAATGGGTTTGGGGGAATGAAGGTACAGATGGAGCAGCCAAGTTCTAGATCACTCACTGTTGCTTCCATAAAAATGCTCTTTCTTTGCTCTTTTATCTACTGGACTCTGCTATGAGATTTTATTTTAACTACATGTTTAACTAAGAAAAAAGGTCTAGCTATGAGAAATAACTTGAAAACTTTGGGTATATAATGGCATTGGAATGGGTTCTTTTTGCTTTGTGGAAAATGTGTTTTGGAAATTACTGAGTTTATGTAAATGGTGAAAATATACTGTTTAATTTAAAGATAACTGTTTAATACTTTTACAACATCAGTGGGAGTGTAAATTAGTTCCACTTCCTCAAGGGTCTAGAACCAGAAATGCCATTTGACACAGCAATCCCATTACTAGGTATGTACCCAAAGAATTACAAATCATTCTACCATAAAGACACATGCACATGCATATCTACTGCAGCACTATTCACAATAGCAAAGACTTGGAACCAAGCCAAATGCCCATCAATGATAGACTGCATAAAGAAAATGTGGCACATATACACCACGGAATACTATGCAGCCATAAAAAATGAGTTTGTTTCCTTTTCAGGGATATGAATGAAGCTGGAAGCTATCATCCTTAGCAAACTAACAGGAACAGAAAACCAAACACCACATTTTCTCCCTTGTAAGTGGGAGTTCAACAATGAGAACACATGGACACAGGGAGGGAAACATCACACACCAGGGACTGTTGTGGGGTCGGGGCCAAGGGGAGGGGGAGCAATCGGAAATACTGAAAGCACGTGGGGCTTAACACCTAGTTGATGGGTTGATAGGTGGAGCAAACCACCATGGCACATATATTCCTTTGCAACAAACCTGCACGTTCTGTATTGTATCCCAGAACTTGTAGTGAAATTTTAAAAAAGACATGATTGTATTAAAAAGCTACCTGAATAATTTAAGAATCAGATTGGGTTGAAGAAAATCAATCTATTAGCAACCCAACCCCATGTACATTCCACAAGAAGAAACATAGCACAATGCACCTTCCATGCCTAACAGAATATTTAGCAAACAGGACGACTGTGAGCCCTGATTGCCTAATCCTCAGTGTCTCTGAACTTGCAATAGTCCTTGAAAACCAAGCCTAGAAATCTGCTTGACAGGCAATCTGCATGGCTATGCCTAGTTTTAAAATCTTAGGGTTTGAAACTCAAGGATTCTTGCCACTTTTATACTACATTTAAGTATAACTGAGAACGTAAATATGCATACAGTATACTGTTCAGTACTGGCATCCATTGACACTTAACAGACATCAGTGAGTTTGATGATTCTTTCTAAAGCCATACTACAAGTCCCTGGACTGCCAGGACATAAGCCCTCAAAAATACCATGACGGCTTATTATAAAAATAGATTCAGTGACTTCAATCCTAGCCTTCACCGGCCAGGTTCAGCTCCTTCTAACAGATAGTGTATGATTCCTTCCTAAAGTAACACGTATCCTGCTGCAAGGTCATTGAAGCAGCTGTGTCACCCATGCTGACTGACACTCCCTTCCTGAAGGGATTGATTCATTGTACTAATTTCACCCTCATTCTCTCCTCTCTCTGAACAAACAAAAGAGGACCTGACAGTCCCCAGTCACTCTGCCAAGCACCCCTCTCGCTGTTGACTGTCTGCCCTTCTTGGGAACTCACAGCTCACTGAAGTGTGTGACTCCAGTTACCATCTTGATGCAGAGACACTGACTCCTCACCTAATAAATAGTATTTTTGAAAAACTAAGTGATTTTTCTCATTCCTATGAACAGTGCTTATTAAAGAAACAATACAAATTCCACATAGCTGTTTGAGTAAGTACTGTGGAAAGATACATCCAAATGCTAATGACAGCTAAACATTAAGATATGTCCTGACTATTTCTACTGCTTTTATCACAGGAGGTTTTGTTTTTTATGTTATTTTCCACAACAGAGAAAGAGGCTTCGAAAAGATTAATTTCAAAGAAAACAATTGTTTTTTAGCAGTGTAGACAAATACAGTAAATTTTTTCACTAATTTGCATATGATAAATTAGTGCAAAGTAATTGTCTTACTTGAATTTAGGTAGAGCAATGTTTTTCTTTGGCTGGGGTCACTTCTCGGGCAATCTCGACATTCTGGAGAGCAGTCTAGATGCAGAAATAAAATAATAATAAGTCCTCTGAGCATTCAAAACAAGCATTGAAATCCATACATTGAAACGTATCTACTTTATGAGGAAGACAAACCTGCTATTGACACTCCTATCATACACAGTTTTCCACACTTTCATGTCAATTTCTAGGAATAACTCAAATCCCTGTAAATCATCTGGAGAGTAAATGAGGTAGTATTTTCCAGATGACTAATGTCACAAGATTAAGTTCTGTAGAACACATGTTGGGGGAATTGACTTTAAAAGAAGTGCAAGAGGATATTTGGTAATCTGCCCAAAATCTCATCTGCCAGGAGATAGCACTTGAATCTAAATTTAGAATGACACTCCAAGTTTAAATTTGTGATAATATTTAAAAGCATTCATGAGACTATTCGTGAGGAATAGTCTATTGATTTAATGCCAAGAAGTGATTACTTTTTTATGAGATTTAGCTATTAATGCAGTTTTATGGTGAGGGGGGCCAGGCTGACCCCTTAAAACATACTGTAATTGAAGATTTGAGCAACCAATCGCTAATTCTAGAGGCTAGAGTGATGCTTCTGCCTTTGTCATTTGGTTTTTAATGATCCCATTTATGTTGCTTGGCCCCTCATGAACTCAACTGTAGTTTGAAAACACTGCACTATTTTAATAAAATGATAGACAGGTGATATGTCTATATTTAATAGAGCAGTGGTTATCAGAAGTCCCAAGGGCATGAGGCTGGCTGCACAGGAGGAACTCGTATAGCTTATTGAAAATATTAATATATTTCTGACTCAGGAGATGCAACTCAATTCTGATTCTGAATCAGATTTACATAGAGGCCTATTAATGTGCATTTTTTAAGACGCTCCCTGGAAATCTGGACTATAGCTAAGCTGAGGACCCTTCACTAGAATAAAGTTTGTGAGATGTGCCAGGAATAATTCTTGGATGGTGTGATGACTAATACTCAGTATCGACTTGCCTGGACTGACAGTTGCGAAGAGCTGATCCTGGGTGTGTCTGTGTGGGTGCTGACAGAGAAGATTAACACTTGAGTCAGTGGCCTGGGAAAGGCAGACCCACCCTTCATCTAGGTGGGAACAATCCGATCAGCTGCCAGCGATGCCAGGATATAAATCAGGCAAAAATCAATAAAAAAACTAGACTAGCTTAGCCTCCCAGCCGACATCTTTCTCCCGTGCTGGATGCTTCCTGCCCTCGAACCTCAAACACCAAGTTCTTCAGCTTTGGGACTCTGACTGCCTTCCTTGCTCCTCAGTTTTCAGATAGCCTATTGTGGGACCTTGTGATTGTGTGAGTTAATACTACTTCATAAATTCCCGTGTGTGTGTGTGTGTGTGTGTGTGTTTGTGTGTGTGTGTGTGTAAAGGAGGATATATATATATCCCTGAGTTCCAGATGAGACAGCCTGGCTGACCCCGCGGCTGTGAGGCTATGCGTGGAATCAATCCGGATACGTCACACCTGCTCTTCTGACCAGACAAACGATGAGGAAACAAAGGAGTGCTATTTTAAACAACCAAGTTGGCTGCATATCTTTATGCAGCAGTAGATAACCAATACATGAGATGTCTTACGCCTCACTCTGTTATTACCATATCCCCACATATGCCATGCGTGTGATTCCAGGTTTTTAAAAAATTTATGTGATAAAGAATTCAGAATTAGATATTGTGTCAAAATAGTGTTAATTGCACTGGAATCATTATCCTATCTTTAAGTTTTTCCATTATTTTACATTAAATAATTTTAGCCTAATCTGATTTATTCCATTTATTTATTTTCTACAGATGTATTTGATGGGTTTTTATTTATGAAATAATATATGCATCAAACTTCTTAAATTAAAAAAATGAAATCTTGTTCCACAGGACCAATGTTGTGCTGTGAAAGTAGGAACATTACTTAAAGAACTGTCCTCACTGAGGCTGGCCCACTCCTGCTCTCTACAGCCACAGATGGGAACGGACATAAAGTAGGAACATTACTTAAAGAACAGCGCGCTGTCCTCACTGAGGCTGGCCCACTCCTGGTCTCTAGAGCCACAGACGGGAACGGACATAAAGTAGGAACATTACTTAAAGAACAGCGCGCTGTCCTCACTGAGGCTGGCCCACTCCTGCTCTCTACAGCACAGAAGGGAACGGACATTAGAACTAGAATCCTGTGTCCAAAGCCATCACTCTTACAGCCTCAGGTGCAAATACGAAGAGAAAAAGGAAAAGAAGCTCAATGGTTAGATGAGTCTTCTGTTCACATATCTGCCACCCTCAATGCCACAACTGCCCATTTATTTTTACTTCACTATTAATTAATTTAGAGATAGGGTCTCCCCCTGTCATCCAGGCTGGAGTACAGTGGTGCAACACTCACCGCAGCCTCTATCTCTTGGGCTCCAGCGATCCTCCTGCTCAGCCTCCCTCGTAGCTGGGATTACAAGTGCAAGCCACCACACCCAGTTCCTAGTTGGGACCTCTGCCCAGGCTTTAATGTAACACCATGAAGGAAATGAAGAAACCAAATAAAAACTACAAACCAAAACACAGACAGTCCAAACAAGAGTCCACTACAGCGAATGAGGTAAATAAAAATCTAAGATGGTAAATAATCACTGTATTACTTAACAAGGAAATAGAAGAAAGGAGGGATTTTAAGCTTGTATCCAACCAGGATATGTGAGGCAAATAAGAAATCCCAGGAATCTCGCCATGTTGCCTTTCCCAGTTCTCAGCTCCCTAAGAGTGGGCTGTCTTCTCTCTGCCTTAATAAGTCTTTAAACGTAATATCTGTGTCCAAGATATGAAGTTGTATTTAAGTCGGAGGAAGAGGCACAACAGCTTCTACTCCAGTTTCCTCAGAAGCAGAAATCGGACTTCATTTGTGTCTTAGGAATTTAACTGAAAAGTTTAAGTGTGAAATTTAAGAGTATACACGTGAGTTTTGAAAAGATATTCATGATGTCAGTTATTTGGAGTGACTTTTAATATAGATACATCCATAGAATCTGTGTGCCCTATGATGTCTTTTAATAAAATAAATTATTATTCACTGAAATTATTCATTGAAATTATTATTCACTGAAAACCCTGAAACACAAATATCACTGAGGAACATAAATTCAACCATAAATGACAAAGATGGAAAAGCTACAGAAAGAAAATAAAATCAATAAAATAAGTGTTTTAAAACACTCCTCATCTATATAAAAATGTGAAACAATCACTCTGCCTGGCATATTATTTAATAGCTAAATATCTTGTTTGTGATGGAAGTTTCACAAAAATATACATATAATAAAAGGACATAAACACATAAGAGTACATGTGTAACCGAGTAACTCTGTGGGTTGTATCAAGGTTAATTTCCTGCTTTTCAGAATCAGGCACTGTAGTTATGCAAGATGTTAAGTTTGGGTGAAGCTGGGTGAAGCGTACACAGGCTCTCCCTCCACATTTCTTTGCAACTTCCTAAAAATTATAACTAATTAAAATCTTAAAAGTTTCTTAAAAGGTAAAAGAAATGTTGAATATACAATTCAAATACTGTTATCTCTTTTTTTTTTTTTTTTTGAGACGGAGTTTCGCTCTTGTTACCCAGGCTGGAGTGCAATGGCGCAATCTCGGCTCACCGCAACCTCCACCTCCTGGGTTCAAGCAATTCTCCTGCCTCAGCCTCCGAGTAGCTGGGACTACAGGCACGCACCAACATGCCCAGCTAATTTTTTTGTATTTTTAGTAGAGACGGGGTTGCACCATGTTGACCAGGATAGTCTCGATCTCTTGACCTCGTGATCCACCCGCCTCGGCCTCCCAAAGTGCTGGGATTACAGGCGTGACCCACTGTACCCAGCCAATAGTGTTATCTCTTAAAGGAAAATAAAGTGGAACACAAGAGTAGCAACAACCATGTGTACTGTAATTGTCATCCTTCACCTTTTTTTTTTGAGACAAAGTCTGGCTCTGCTGCCCAGGCTGGAGTGCAGTGGCGTGATCTTGGCTCGCTGCAACCTCCACCTCCTGGGTTCAAGTGATTCTCCTGCCTCAGCCTCCCAAGTAGCTGGGACTACAGGCGTGTGCCACCACGCCCAGCGGATTTTTGTATTTTTAGTAGAGATATGGTTTCACCATGTTGGCCAGGATGGTCTCGATCTCTTGACCTTGTGATTTGCCTGACTCAGCCTCCCAAAGTGCTGGGATTACAGGAGTGAGTCACTGCGCCTGGACATGCTTCACTTCTTACATTAGGTAATAGACTCACAAATTCTTATGATATTAATGTGTTTTATTAAAAAATATATGTGTGTGTATACATATGTATACACACACATGCATATATATATTATACACACACACAGATGTGTTATGGTTTTCTCTATGTCAACTATTACACTAATAGAAATAAAACAAGAAAAAACGCATCTTATACTTTATACTCTGTGTGTACATGTCTTCAGATGGGAAGTACATATTTTCTTTCCTTTACTGTTAGAGAAAAAAACAAATTTTTTCTTAATGGCAATAATATAAGGAATGAAATGACTTGGTCTTAATAGTAAATCTACAATTCTGTGGTCTTATTTATACTTGATTATCTTTATGTTAGCAATGTGAAGTGGTTTCTATGTGTATAAAGTATGTAGCAATATAATTAATAGTAAATCTACAATTCTGTGCTCTTATTTATACTTGATTATCTTTATGTTAGCAATGTGAAGTGGTTTCTATTTGTATAAAGTATGTAGCAATATAATTAATAGTAAATCTACAATTCTGTGGTCTTATTTATACTTGATTATCTTTATGTTAGCAATGTGAAGTGGTTTCTATTTGTATAAAGTATGTAGCAATATAATTAATAGTAAATCTACAATTCTGTGGTCTTATTTATACTTGATTATCTTTATGTTAGCAATGTGAAGTGGTTTCTATGTGTATAAAGTATGTAGCAATATAATTAATAGTAAATCTACAATTCTGTGCTCTT